GCACTCACCGTCACTGCTGATGGCGTAGCCGACCGACGCGCCGCACGCGACAGAGGAGATGCTGGGGAGCTCCGGGATGACGGTGGGGGTGCTCTTCTCCTCCGCCCCCGCCCCCAGGCCCAGGCGGCCGTACTCGGCCCTGCCCAGGCTGTAGGCTTTACCTGCAGCACAAGAGACATGACCCAAGGTGGGCAGAAGCCCGTAGCCAGAGCCTCTCCCCCTGCTCTGACTCCTGCAGGAGCATCACTCCTCCCTACAACACCCCAGATCCCAACCAGGAGGTGCAGGGTGGGAGAGAGACCCTCGAGCTCCCCAAAATCAATGGGGTGGGTGGGTGCCCTTTGCTGCAAATTCACACCATCCTTGTTGCCTTGAATGGAGGCCTCCAGCATGTCACTCCCACCCCAACACGTCCCCAGGCAGGATGAGGACTGCAGGAGTCCCCCCTCCCTCCCGCTCTCCACGACTCCCAGCCCGCCCATCACGCCGGCACTCACCCTCCGAGTCGACGCACACGGTGTGGTGCTGCCCGCCAGAGAACCCGACCCAGGACTTGGTGGAGTTCTTGAAGCACGTCAGGTTCTGCGGGGAGAAGCAGGGCTCGGTGCCCTGGGTCCCTGCGGGGGGACGCACAAACCCAGGGACATCAGGTCCACGGGCACAGACAGCCCATGCCGGGCACCGGCGCTGAGCCACCCACCCTGGGCTCACCCCACCAGGGACTAACACAGCCCACCCCAGCCTCAAAATCCAACTTCTGCTCAAACCCACCAGCTGCAGGGGCTGGGACCTAAACCCAGAGCCCCAGTTGGGTGACCCCGCACCCCAATTTCCAACTCTGGGGTGTCTGGATGCGGGATGGGTTCAGGACCCGGGGTGCCCAGCAGCATCCCTCCCACCAGGCAGTGTGGGACTGGGAGGTCCGCAGCCAGACCAAAGCAGGAGGTGTGGAGGGACGTAAGCGAAGCTCACCCAGCTGGTGGTAGTTGGAGAGGCCGAATCCATAGATGTGTCCCTCCTGCGTGACGGCAAAGGTGAAGTAAGCCCCGCAAAAGGCGTCCTGGAAGCGCATTTTGCCTCTGTTGCCTTTGCCTCTGACAGGGACGCGCTGGGGGACCAGCAGGCGCTCTGGGGGCAGGAGACAAGGTGTCAGACGAGCTCTAGGGATTTCCACCCTTTCCATCCCCTCTTAGACCCAGCCCACTGAATCCACGCAACCGACTGACACACAAGCCCTCGAGCAGCAGGGGAAGAGAGGGGGTGTCCCTGCTCCTCTGCAAAGCGCAGAGCTGGGGCTGAAGGGCGCAGAACCGCACGTCTCCAGGCACCAAAGCAACTCACGCAGCCCTTTCCTTCCGCCACGGTTGGCGAAGAGCGCCGGCACTCTCCCCAGCTGGCCCTGCTCTCCGCAGCCACACGTGAAGAGGTCACCGTCCACCGTCAGCATCACCAAGTGGTCGTTCCCTGGGAAGAGACGGGGAGAAAAGCAAAGCAGGAGTCACCCTCCAGATCCCCCAGGAACCCAGCAAGACCCAGGGCTGAGACCCCCCCCATGAACCCCCGCTGTCCCAGCCCTCCAGAATTCAGTGGGGTTTCCAGCACCCGACACCCTGACACCAGTTCCTGGCACACCTTCAGCCCCCAGGATCTCCCTCTTCCTGATCCCAGCTCCCCAGCTGAAACTCCAAACAAGTTTCTCTGGGAAGGTTTAGGGGCACAGGGGCCCCCCAACCTCACCTGGGCCCCGAACAACTTCCCTGGCTGCTGTGCCCAGCTTCCCCACGTCTAGAGGAGGGCGAGCGCTGTGACCCTGCGGGGTCGCGGTTAGGGCGGTTGGTATTTTACATCAGATCGGGTCAAATATTAACAACATTGCTGAGGACAGAAGAGACACAAGGTCTGTTCTCTCAAGAGCCAGAGGAGAGCAGGAACAGCCTTGTACCTGGCTCAGGGAAGCCAAGAGGGAGAAGAAAATGGACCTTCAGCTTCTCCCGAGGGCTGCACCAGCCCTGTGCATCAGCCTGACCCACCCCGACCCGCACACACCCCAGGACCTCGCTCACCTGAGACAATTTTAACGACGGGTGCACTGAGCTCCAGCAGCACAGGAACGGAGCTCGTCTTCATGGGCTCCAGCCAGCCGATCACCCCGTTGTTATCCTTGGTGGAGAGACACTTTTTAGCAGCAAAACCCACCCGCAGAGCTTCCAGCGTCTGAGATATCTACACACCCGGAAAGAGCCCCAGATAAAAACCCTGCCGTCCTCCGTCAGCGCGGCCGTGTGGCTGTCCCCCGCAGAGACCTGCACCACCTTCTCCTGCAGATCCACCAGCCCCGGCGTGGTCTCCGACCCTTCCGCCGAGGTGTCGCGCCCGAGGGCACCTTCATCGTTGCAGCCAAAGGTGTAGATCTGCAGAGGTAGAGCAAGATGGTCAGGATGGGACCCCCAGGGGAAACAGAGACCCCCCTGAAGCTGAATTATCCCTTTAAACCCCTAAAATGTTGTGGTCCATGGCATGGAGACCACGCTCACGCCCAGAGCTGGAGTGAGCTGCAGAGCAGGAGCTGATTCAGAGCCCCTGCTCTAGATCACATCCCAGATTTTGGGGGTCCCAGCCCCTCCGCTCTGTACTCACTTTTCCTGTCTGGCTGAGGCACACCGTGTGCATCCCTCCGGCTTCCACCTGCACCATCAGCTCCGGGAGTGGCACCAGCGCCAG